GCCCCTTTGCCCCTAATGGCGATGCTACATTAGTATTAACGAGAAGTCCGGTAGTGTTTGACAATGCATGCTGCGCTTGTGTTTTGGCGGCATGAAGGCGTTGTTGCTGTTGTTGCTGTTGATGCTGCATATGAGAGTCAGAAGAAGGTGGAGTTAGTACCCCTTGGTTGTTGAAGCCTGGCGAACTTGTGGTAGGCGACGACGCGTGCGAGGGTGGAGTAGGTCTCGACTGTGGCGATTGATTGGTATGGAAAGAAACTCCGGGCTCAAGCTTCGGCGCAATGCTCGAGTTCGATCGTCTAGCTTGATGATGTCTATTCATAATGGCACGCTGAACAGTAGGTGGCTGAGCCATATTCTGTTGCATGTGCGTTGGGCCAAGGTGAGGACTTCCTGTCTTCGCACGTAGTTCGGCTTGGACATCAATTCCTGTCAAAAATTAGATCATGGTCGAAAGAAAGCTCAATTGATGTAATCACCTTTCTCTAGAAGAACTCTTTCAAGGAGAGAATTCTTATATCGAAGCATCAGACACTCATCAGCGGCACTTCTGTGAGCATTCTGGAGATTATGAAGGTTCGTCTCATGAACTCTAATGGTTTCTTCAAGTTGCTTGATATACTCTGTGCGACGCTCTCTAAACGCTGCTTGCGCCTGACGATTGCGTTGTTTACGTTCCTCTGAAGTAGCATAAATCTAAGGGATCGCATTAGCAAAGGGGTGCTATAGAGCTGAGCATCTTCTATCGACATACAGGCTTTCGACCGCCCTTCCTCTTTTGTTGGCCAACACTTTCTGGAGGGATTTCTGTCTCCGCCTCTGGTGTAGAAGCATCCAAAGATTCATCTGTGCCCTCTCGGACGGATTCTTTTGCGTCGATAGACATGCTTGTTGAGATGTCTGCCATTTCAATAAGGAGATATTGTGATACTATGGTATTTCTGAACCCCGCCTTTTGTTGGCCCCAGGTATTGGCCTCGGCAAAAATTTATACAGATCAAACGAATTAAAAGAGTGAATGCACCCGACAACCAGTACAGTGTGAATGCTTGACAGAAGCTTGGACAGCGAGGTTGCGTCTAAAAACAGTAATAGACTACTCGTTATCAGATGGTATATGGCCCTATAGGCGCCGTTCCACTGACTCCCGAATTTCTGGAAACTGGAGATAAGGTAGGGATGGCGTACGAGGCTGAGAGCCTGAGATGAACCGGTGGTTGCGTGATAAAGATTGATACAGTGACAATGTATTGGAGAATGATTGATAGAGCAAAAGATAGAGTAATAAGAATGTGAGACTTCGGTCAAAAAGTTGTGTAATGAAAACTCAGTTGAGGAGCTTCTTCCTTTTAGATGGAGGAGAATATTTTTCACGGTTAGGGAGGGGTTTGAATCAGATCCGATTCGGAAAGCACGGTACCCTACTATAAGTCAGAACCCTGCTTCTTGTTGATGTTTCTAATTCCAAGGTTCATACGTATTTTTATTTTTTGGGGAGATTCTTCTAGCAACTAGTAAAGGAGTACCAGGTAGTTTGGGATCCACTAGTTTGAACTCCGCCAACAGAGAAGAGAATTTTTGCGGTGCTGGCGTTGGTGCGGCTCGGGCTATTCATCTAAAAATGCAGTATTATGAACATGATTGAATTGGAAGACAAGGTTACCGTGTGAAAGGAGTCTTGGCAACTGACGGAGTGTGTTCATCTACGAGAGGGGCTTCGTTAAACTCACTGGGAGAAATGTATATACGTACGCCGTCTGGCGGGTGGCTACTAACGACTACCTACGCAGTATGATCCTACGGACAATGTTGGATGGGTAGACAGCGTGAGGGTCGACTCTACGAGAAAACGCGAGACGACGAGGATTATCAGAAGGGCTGGTAATGACAGTTTGACGATGATGCAGCTCGGGATCTCAGATGATGTTTGAATTCAGTTAGCCAGGCACAAGACCGAAAGAACTAGGACTTTTGAAGTCTTGATGAATCCATCCAAAATATTTTTTAATATGGAGCCCATTAGTACGGCCTCTTGATTGGAGAATTGAGATTCCATACAGATTCCATACCGTGATCGGAATGTCGCTGACTGGAAAATACATCGTACGCCTTGGTCTTTGCTAGGTCTGGTGGTCGATAGGGTTAGATTAGGTAAGGTAAGGAATTCGACCAGTATACACGATTGGCCGCTCAGGATTTGCTATTTTGGTGAGGACAACATGTACTCGAAGAGATCAATAAGGTGACATTGTAACCGTACAATGTAAACCCATCATGGTACGAGAAATGCAGAGAAATGCAGGAAAACGCAGTAAACTGCAGCAAAGGCGGAGAGGAACATGCACGATTCGTGACTCGATGGAACCTTGCCTCGCTTGCTAGGGACATTTTCTCCACATAAGCCAATTGTGGCTCTTTCTCGGCATAACTAGCCCAGAGTGAGCAAGGCTAAATCAGGTGCGGAATCGCGGATGTCGTATACTGGTATGTAGTGCTAATGAGTGTAGCTTTTTTTATTGATGGATCATGGCCTTGATCGTCCTTATGGCCTTCCAAATGGCTTCCAAATGGCTTCCAAATGGCTTCCATAAAAGCTACTACTACTACGGAGTACACACGCTTCATCCATGATTGTCTGAACACGCATGAGTTTCTCAGCCACCAAAATCTGTGTCATCCCGATTTCTGTCCTATGAACCAACGAACCACCGACAACGACCATACAATACCAACAACACCAGCCTCACTACAAAGCTTGGCTCTTCGGAAACCGTTGAGAATACTGGTCATTCATCTATTTGGCTCCATGTACTGACCTGATTGCTTCCATCTCGATATGCTCTCCCTCCTTCGCTTGTCTGTGCTCCATACTTATTGATTTGCCTGAACGGATAATATTGCATAAGTAAGGTCTACATTGGCATCGTTTGAAATTTCTCACGATATGTGAGTGGTACGCGGGACCGGTGATTGTTACATCCTACCATTGCCATGGTAAATGCTTGCATGGCCCTTTTGGCATCTTCCCCTTCCGCTTTGCCCAGTGCTTACCACTCCTCACTGCATCAACGAAATTGGCTTAAAGTTCCCTTTCTCCCAAGATATGATCCTCAATGTCAAAACTGTAAGGCCATGTTTATTCCCGGGAATCTGGTCATTCATCTTGATCATTAAAGGTCGAATGTTGACTGAAAGTCATCATTCGGATGCGGCCGTCATAAATTCACAATGATTATTCGGGATGTCTTCAAATCACAATCACAGAGCATGGATGATTTGATCACCTGCCAAATAGTAACTTCACATCCTGATCCATTGCCTGGGTTCAATTGGAGTCTTACCTATCGTGGCTTTTCACTCGGCTGCAACTTGCTCGTTATAAGTTGAGGTCGTCCAAAGAGAAACTTCTCTCAACTTCTCAAGGCAGCGCCCAACTTCGCATCTGACAATGGAGCAATGCAAAACGCCACCATGAATTATAATTGGTCCAAAACGGAGTGACAAAAGATGCGGGCGTTGATTAAATGGGCTAGATTCCACATTCAAAATACAGATTCGATAGACGAGCAAGTTTCCACATCTTCCAGCCTTCAGAGTCCAAACCACATTCTACCGACAACGTGTATAATAAGTTGTCAATACCTAGTACTGTATGGAAGTAGTCACTTTGGATACTGCACGCGTATATCTGATCCTTCTCCACGGCATTTTACATCCCTTTTAATATATACTTCACACCGTGCGGGCGTGCACACGCTTCATGATTCATCAATTTCATCATTTACAGGTAAGATCTTACATATCTGGGGTTCTGAAGCAAAAATCCGCTACTAAGTTCTGACCTCCAACCTTGAACAATATCCTTGTAGTGTAAACTTCCGGTATGAGAGATGTGATTCGTACGAAGTGAAGGCTGGCCCAGGGTTCTCTTCAAGCTAGATGATCACGTCAAGCATATCTCCACGGAGCCTTATCTACCAAGCTATCTTATTTCAGCAGGTCCAGCCAGGAATGTAGCACTGTACTGAAAGCCTTCTGTTTGACTGTTGTCGCACCGATTTTGATTAACCAATACCTATTTAGTTGCCACAAGGCTGTGATTATTAAGATGTGTGAAATTTTACGATCAAGCATTTGATTCTGTACCATCATCATCCATAACAAACCAAAATGCCATCCCACTTTTGTTATTTTAAGGTTTCCAATGTCACGCTGAATTGAGATGTGCCAAATAAACGCAGATCAGTCGGAGAGACTGTGGGACTTGATTATTCGGATTTCATCTCCTCAAATGGTTAAGATCAAAGGGGTTTAAGGCTACGCGGTAGAGTCCATATCTCATAATCCATGGACCTTGAAAGCTCCATCAACATATAGTACATACCGAACCAATCCTTGAGCAACGAGGAGGGAATACAACAGGGCTGACGTTTTGAATTGCGAGGCCAACATTGAGCATTTCTCTCAGCTCAGGATACATCCCATCCACTTTCGACTGTGATTTACTTTCCAAGTGCACACCGATACAGCAATTTATCGGTCAAGAGAATGGGGTCCGAATTCGGCAACTATGACCATCATGCGCCCATCGTAAGGTCATGAAACAGATGCGGCTACTTGCCGCGTGATAAAAGAAGTTTTCCAGAGAAGTACGAAAAAAGTATACAGAGTCACCAACCAAACCTCTCTGAGAATCCTTGGATGCTGTCATTGAGTCTTGACTCTTGAGAGTTGGGTGAAACAATGGACCTTGAAGAATTAATTCATGAGCGGACCCGAAAAACGGCCCTTTAGCTTAGCAAGAAACAACCTGCTGGGTTTTCACCGAGCCTTATATCGTCGACCTCGGTCGACCCCCTTTGGCATTTCGCGTCTCGACGCTGATAGGGGGGTCAAACCCGTTGGATGCGAATGAATGGATATCTTTATTGGGGATTTTCCGCTTCTAGGAGTCTAGCACACTGACCCATGACGTGTTTAAATGAAAAGGACAGCTTGCAATGGAGAAGGCATATTATAATTTCACGACCTTGCAAACTTCCATTCATGATTTTGTTCTATCTTCAAGATTATGTCCGAAATACTCTCCCAATTTTAATGGCAACTGCCGCAACGCCGACGACTATTCTTCTCATGTGGTACAGAACCACGTTATCTACTCACCTATTGATCTTGGCACTATATAGGAAGATGCTTACGGTCCACGGAGCAGGTATTCGATGTCTAGAACCACTCCTCATGATAACTCCCCGAGGCTCTGAAGGGCTAATGAATATCAGTACCAGGAACTCACACCAAGTGCTAGGAGGTTGGTTGAAAGCTCCAGTTTTTGATGCTTTTTAGACTTTGATTGATTGCAAAAGAGCTCACTTACTCTTGTGACAACTTTAGTACCAGCATGTTCTCTACATGTATGATTTGATCAACACAAGCTTCAAAAGACTTCAAGTTAGTTTGTTATGGATTTGTAGCTACACAGCAGGCAATAATCTCTCCACAGCATCTCAACCTTTCATTCATAACTCTTAAATGCTATCGTTAGAATGTGTCATGCTTTTCTTTGATTTTCAACATAGTTCCTATTTGATTTGCTGCCTACCTAGGAAGGTAGCTTCACATTGAACACCTTCCTAATTGCTTCATGAATTGCAATGGCACGTGATGACAAGCGCCAAAACCTTATTTTGGTGCATTGCCGTTATGTGTCCTCCTCGGTACCTGGAAAGCATCAGGAAGCTTCAACATAACATCATACCTTGGTCGAATTTCTCGAGCTTTATCAACAAGCTCAATTTATTTCCATAATTATTATTCTCTGACGTTTCAACTCCCAGAATAGTAGAGATTGCCCCATTCCAAAATTCCCGAGGGAAACCAACCAACATGCGATTCACATCTTTACCCTCGGCCCTCCTGCTTGGACTCGCCTTGCACATTGGAGTAGAAGGTGCAGGCTTGGAGGACAAGAAACCCAAGCCTGTTGACCCATGTACTATTTCATCGACGACAGGGTCTTTCTTTGATCTGAGACCATTATCGATACAAGCTCCAGAAGAAGGGAAGAAACCTGCCAAAAATGCGAAGACGGACAGTTGGCATGCAAGAGGATATGATTACAAAGGAAATTTTACACTGAATGTGTGCGCGCCAGTGGTAGAAGAGGTGAAGGATTTTGTGGGAGTAGACAAAAACCATTGGAAGAATGTGAGCGCTTTTTATGAATATGACGGAAAGAAGTATTCTGTAGGGTAAGTTGGATCTTTATTGCATTGTTCCAGACAAACAAATTAACCAGCACATTTCAGACAACAATCAGGAAACTTAACACTCCGCGGAAGAAAGCTTGTTGTAGAGTATACGAATGGATCGCCATGTGGAGGAAAGAACAAAAAAAGAAGCTGGGACGATGACGATGACGACGACGATGATAAATCCATACGCCGGAAATCCAGCATAATATCTTTTCATTGCGAGAAAGACCCACTCGCTACTGCATCTGCCTCATACGTAGGAACCGATCCAGAAGAATGCGCCTATTTCTTCGAAGTGCGCTCACAAGCTGCTTGCGGAGGCTCCGAACCTGCCAAACAGACTGTGGGTCCGGGTGCTGTCTTCGCCATCATAGGAGTTATTGCTATACTGGTATATTTCCTCGGTGGTGTTTTCTATCAACGAAATGTCGCGCATGCAAGAGGGTGGAGGCAATTGCCCAATTATAGCTTCTGGGCTAGCATAGGAGATTTCATAAAGGTGAGCTGCAAAACATGTCTTATGAGATCAGCACCACAACTCTTTCCCCGTGTAGCGTCCGTTCGGGATGGCTCGTCGATATTGCCGACGATGGAGGTGAGGGGAATGTCAAATCGCAGGTCGCAGAAGTCGTATATACGTTCCGAGTAATTCCAAACACGGAACACAAGTTCTCTCATGTGGGAGGACGAAGTTTTCTTTATATATTCAAAATAATTGAGCCAGCGAGCGAACAGCGACATTCAGCATAGCATTTTCTTTTCGGTTTTCAGGCTGCAATTAGGATAGGCATTCAGCATTATAGCATACAATACCCGGCGTTTCAATCAAAGATTACCACAATCTTCCTTTTTCACTACTTATCGCAATGAAAACCCTCACAAGCGTGTCAAAGTCAAGCTGCATCCATAATCACATATTGCTATTTGCATATTTCTTTTTGTCTCGGTATACCGCTATCCACCTATCCATCCATTTATACAGAGGAATAAAAGTCTTGGCGAAAAGCATAACTAACACTAATTAGGACGTTTTCATCATCGCTACTTCATCATGCTCAAGGTGCTTACCAACCCATAGGGGATATAATACCTTGAGTATCTCTGCAAATGGAAATTCTGGAGATGGAAGTAATGGTAGAGGGAGTGGGAGGGATAGAGGCGTTAGTGCAAATGAAAGTGGGAGGAGAAATTCGGGGAGTGAGGATGAAAATCGTTTAATTGATCAATTGGATGAGGAGTGGGATGATTAGAGATGGGCATTAGAAAGTTTGTGGCATAGGATGTAAATTGGAGAAGGGGAAAACTGGTATGATATTGGGCTAGTATGGTGTATAAGGATAAGGCGTTATGGGTTCGAAATCCGCGAGTGAGGGCAAACATCAGGAGGGAATCAATTGTTATGAAAACGAATGCGAATATGAAGGCTCTGGAATAGATAGTTGACCTACCTATGATATGATTTTTATTTATTTCTCGGCTCTTCTTCTCTAGTCTTTGTCTTTGGTATTCCAGCTATGAGTGTACAGCATCGATTTGAAAGGGGTAGATGGGCGTTATCCTGTTCCTTGTTTTGAAGAAAGAGTAGAGAGGTTTTGCAATTCTCTATTCTTCGTTTTATGATGCGTTCTATATATACATTAGACAACCCAACAGTCAATCGATACTACAAAAGAAGAGCAATGTGAGACGAGAGACGTGTCTAGGAATTATTCGGTAGACCCATCTTCTATTAGTTTACACCAATACTCCTCGAGACCCTACTAAAAGTTGAAAATTCATTTTCTACTGACTTCCCGTTTACATTCGAGTAGCGAGATTTCTCGAACGATATGGAAAATGGACGATCGGGGTGAAACAGGAGACGATTCTTATTTTCTCTCTGTTCCTCTTGATTCATTCCTCTCGCTGGATGTTGAGACGAGTCTTTCTTTTCAGAATCTAGATGCAGTTGTCTGGAAGATTCATGGTCAACTTCTACATGCTACAACCTTCTACCCCTCTCTAATTTCTCGTACGTCTTTTTACTTTTTTAAATGCTGTTTGAGTCATGTGTGTGCTATTAATCATATATCAAGTATAACTCTCGCGCGGCTAGATCTCTTTCTGGCTTTCTTAATATCTGGGTGAGGATGTTGAGTGTGTAATGTATAGAAGAGATTGAGTAGATAGAAATGACTAGATGATTGAGGATGATTGAATGAATTCGAATATGAATATTTTTGACTATATATAGGTAAATGTGAATGTTGAGGAAAGGCGATATCCTGAATGGATACTAAATGAGAAAGTGTACTCAATAGATCCATAAATGAATGTCTCCGAAAAATTAAAATGCTAACCTGATCATCATGTTGAATACTCCACAAAAACATCACAACCCATCAACAAGATGATCGAAACACTCAGCCAATGTAGTAAAGCTGCTCTGAACAGTAATAGACGTTTCATTAAGAATAGAACGCGTTGTTAATCGATCATAAAATACTAAAACACAGGGATATACACTATACCAGTTCTCTAACCATATCCATAACTATGCCTCAAACACCGTAACGCTATGCTATCCATACGCCATTTTGACAAGGAATCACTTCCTTATCACTTCATTTGTGCCATTTCCAACTCCCTTCATCCCATATATACACGTTCTTCTGGGCAATACTAGTCCCTAATATAAACCGGAATACCATAAACACAAACCGCAGCCGCATTGAGATATTTCAATTTGCAAGCCCCCTTCGCCTGTGCCACCGCCTCAATCAACGACAACTTTCCTCCCCCCTCTACATCTTTCTCCTCTTTCCCTTTCTTCCTTCCTCCCCCCTTCTTCTTTTCTTTTCCCTCCCCTTTCTCCCCCTCCTTTCCTAAAAGTCCCCACCCCTCCAACATCTTCCCCGCAAACCGATCAATGTCCCTGTCCGTAACATCCCATAACGTCGCTACCAATGCCGCACTCCCCGCATGCATATAATGTATCGGCTGGCCCCCCAATTCGAACTCTCCATAATTCGTGAGCGCACCACTACTACAACCCATCAAAATTGTCACTGCGCATTTCTCCATCTTGCGAATTTCTTTAGAACGAATGAATTGTCCTCCGCTTCCATGGCCGAAATACAAGAAGACGTCTTTATTTTGTAGCTCATATTTCATTTCTTCTTCAGAAGGTGCACGATTGACAATGCCGGACCAAGAAGGAAGTGCTTCTAGAGGAGCTTGGAAAGTGGTTTGTGTGTTCTTGAGATCGCCTTCGGGGTTCAGGATATATGCGCCGTTATTGCGATCGATGTAATGCCCCTCTGGACCTTCATCTGACGCTTTCTGTTGTTTGGAAATTCGATCTCGAAGACATCCAAGTGATGGAAGACGCGAGACTGCCAAGCCTTCCATACATGGTAGTGATTCCCATGGAAAGATGTGGAGAGCCTTGTCTAATATCAGGATAGTATGTTTTCCTTCGTCGTTCTGACTCGAACTGTGAGCAGCTTCGTGATAGCAACGTAGAGCATCATGGATTTCAATGACGATTGAATCGAAATCAATTTCTGCATAAGCGTTCAATTCTCCGTGGAATTGAAGAACGTCAACAACGAAATATAAAAGATCAGTCAGTTGTTCGGAAAAATCGCTATCATCTGCTGATGGATTACCAAGACCGATAAATAGCTCCAAAATTCTGCTGTCCAAAGTGACACGAGGTCCAGAGTTTCTTTTGCTCTTTCGACGAGAAGGGAGATGCTTGTCAAGTATATTCTCAAAGGATTTTTGAAAACGAGCGAGAAGATCCGATTTTCTGGTGAATTGAGAGAATATTCCTGCAAACCCTCCTAACCATACCTTCTCGATATTTTCTAGTAGATCCTTGAGACGAGAGTCTAACTCTGCACGTTCTGCCCACCAAGCAAGTTTGGCTTCACGACCTGTCCTGCTAGGGCCGCTTTGGGAGTTGGCCTTCGCAGAATCAATGATATTTAAGAGCTCGCTTTTTCCTTGCTCAAACCCAAATACTTCTTCATCTGCATCCATGGAATTGTTACGCCCTAAAGGTAGACGAAGTACAAATGGACTATGACCGGTTTGTAATTTAGTGATAGAAAGTTCTTGACGATTCTCGCTCAAAGATATTGAGAGAGCAGTCCATGTTTTGGGGAGGATATCTATATATTCCTTTTGAAATTTCGGAATATCGCAGAATGATAATGAAGCGCCGAGACTTGATCGCCGGGACATAGCCCCACAATCGGGCCAACGAAGGTCATCGAGTTCTGGGATACAAGTCTCTTGTAAGATGACTTTGCGCTCTCTGCGGAATGCAAGAGTACGTGCAGAATCAATGGAGCAACTTGCAAGACCGGGTTGGGATCTTCCCTTGATTGGCCCTGCAGCAGAGAGCAAAATGGAGACATTGTTCAAGAGTGAAGTTATCTTGTGCATAACAGAGATTGGAGCAACGAGAAATGCAACTGGGTAGGTTTCCACTAAAATCTCTTGAGCTCGGTGTAACTTGTCAAAAAGGTTATCTGGACTTGGACTCTTTGCCCCACGACCACTTCTCGATGTTTGTGTTTTTCTAGGTGGTGATTGTTGTACGGGATTTGAGTTTTCGGCGTGGCTCTTATTGCCTTTCAGACTTCCGACAACCGATGGAAATGAGAGAGTTGAGTCTTGAAGTACAGAGTATACTGGATCGGAGACCATTTGTTCCATGCATCGTACAAGCAAACATCGAGCTTCTGAGAGACCTTGATATACCTCGTCTAATTGGCTATTAGAGTATTTACTGGCTTCATCCAAGAAGACCTGGGCTTCATTCCTCTTTTTCACGCTCATGAGAGCGTCAGCCAATTGCCACAGAATATTTGCTCGTAAAGAGTCTAATTGAGGGCACTCTGTGCTAACTGATGATTCCACGGGTGTTGGAGTTTTGGAACGAACGACAGGCTTTCGGGGAACTGGCAATTTCTTACGTGTGGTAGTTTTTCGAGTAGCTGGCGCCTTTCGTTTTGATATAGAGAGCGTTTGAATTCCGGTTTCCAACGTATCAGGAACATCCGGCGTACTAATATCACCCAATTCGAGGGTTGCAAGAAATGCAGGGTCTATGAGAGTTTTGAGAGTTTGATTTGCTTCCTCCAGACATGCAATTTCTGCTTTACGATCTCCAAGCATTCCACGGAGACGTCCAATTTGGCATGCGACTGTGACCGAACTTTTGCCCTTGGTCCCATCTTTATAGAACTTTTCTGCGTCTGTAAGGTAATTGGTGCCCTTATCTAGGTTTCCAGCTTTAGTCCAGATGTTTCCAAGTGTGGCCAAAGCTATTGCAGACTGTCCATCAAAATTGAATGATTTAATGAGTTCGTGAGCTTGCTCTCCATAATGTAACGTCTCTTGAAATAGCCCATGATGAGCGTACAGATTTGATAAATGAATCAACCCATGGAAAAGAGGAGCGACCAATGGCCAAAATCCAATTCCTGATGGGCTGTCCTGCGGCTGAGGTTGACCCGCTATTTTGTTTGTAGAAATATCCAGTTGGGAGAGCCCATCAACTACCTTCTCTGCGTCGTCTCTGGGTACAGCCGCTAGTTTCTTTTTCCGAAGTATTGCTTCGGTGGTAGCCCACGCGCGCCTGAGTAGTCTGACGCTCTGTTTAGCATGGACAAGAGCAGATTCTGAGCCTCCCTGTTCAATGGCAAGCATCGATCGAATCAAAGAAGCTTTCGCAACAACACAATTCAGTCGAGTCTTTTCTTGAAGACTGAGAGGCGATTTATCTTCTTCTAATTCCTTTCGTTCCAGAATAAAAGCTCCTTCAGCACACTCTAGATGAAATTGGCTATTATATGTCAGTGGGTTCTGGAGGATAAAATTTGTGGACTTACCATTTTTCAAGGTTTCCAAGTGCTAACATGTATTGTGAGTGTGCAATGTGAAGATCTGTTTTGGCGCCAAGATTGCTACGCAAGCTAAAACTTTGCGCCTTGTCCAATGCTAATCCAGCTTTTCCAGAATAACCAAGTTGAAGCCACGAGAGACCCAAGGCACTGTAAGTTGACACAATGTCGTTGTGACCAGATACTTCACAGTAGAGTTCATTGTAATCAGCGATAAGGCGAAGAATGACAAGCTTGTCAGTTTCTAGACCTCGCATTTCCATGAAGTTGGCAAGTGACTGTAAGTGAAGCAAGAGCTGCGGGATGTTATCAATGCGAAGCTGCAAAGCAGCGAGATTTTCAGCTTCAGAACGAATGGTTCGCCAGTTCACGATGCAGTTCTTCAGATTTTTGATGCAAATTTCATCTTTCTGGAGTTCCATTATACTTACTGCCATAGCCACCCAATGTCTCAAGTAGCCTGCTAAACCAGAATCCTTGGTTGTGTCAATATCGATAGACTTGCTCATAAGAGCCGTGAGTGTCTCAACCATATAACCGTCTTGTTGTTCATTGTGCGAATGTTGAAATATGGTCATTGCCCTCAGCCTGCGCACAGGGTATTGGTTCAAGTCGTACAAGGAAACTAGGTGCTCAAACACCTTGCTTTTTAAGTCCATGGCAACAGAAGTGGGATTAGCGAGGCCGGTCAAGATATCCAACTCATGTTCAAGAACAGCCCCCTTTTGCTCATCCGTCCAAGAGAGACCGAAAAGCCAAGGTTCGGGAGAAATTTCTGGGTGACTGAGATAAACCTTTACCAGAGACTGTATAGTCCGAGCGAGAACTTGCGCATCGTCACTACACTCCCAAGCTTTGCGAATAGATAGAATTTTGGCGTTTTCGACCACCTTACACAAAACACCATTTTCTACCGTCTCATCTCGTAGCATAACAAGGGCTTTGAAAAGTTCGTCAAATCGACCCATGCTTTTGGAAAGATCCGCCATTCGTTCCAGTTTCATAGACATAAGGCCAGCGTTCCGGTCCGGTAAAGGCCTTGATTTAAGGCAGTCAATTGACCTTCGGAGAACTACTCGTGTCTGTGGAGTTCCTTTGCCAGCATCGTTATTACGACGTAAGTCAAGAAAATACATGAAGTAAAGGTTAGAAATCTTGATATAGCACTGTGTCGCATTGAAGTTCTCATCTTCCATAGAACCCTGTTCTAGCCGGTCGAGCAATGTAAGACAATCTTGCAGTAAGGAATCTATCCGTTCCCATACTGGTGCCTCTTGTTTCAGAAGCAATTTGATCAAGAATAATGCAGAATCAATTGCATGGACGGAGGGCTTGGTGATAAATTTCCTGCGTTGTTCGAATCGCACAACATCCTTGCTTGAGGCATTTTCATCCGGTTTCTTACCAATATAGCGAAGTGATAGTCGAGGGCATAAGGAGACGAGGGTTTCACACATTTGACGGACTTCGGGCGATAGAGCGTTTGTATTGGATGACAACTCAGACACAGGGTTCGAAATCGCAATGATAGCAGCTCTCCTTGCCGAAGAGACTTCTGTCAATAATTCATCGATTTCAGATGCCTCCCCCTTAAATGGTTGCTCTAGCACATCCAACAGCTCGATCAATAAATTTTCTGTTTGCTCGCGTTGAGAACCCCGCAGAGTGAGAGAAACTAGACGAGCTGTGAGAGCACTATGCCTAGCATTGGAGTCGGCTTTAGAATCAAGAAGATTTCTGACCATTCCAACCCATTCAATAGCATCATCAATAACATTAGCTTCTTTAGAAAGGGATCCTAGTATACGGTATATTCCAATCAAGGCAGGTGCCGACTTAAGCCCGTCGGTTTCGTATTTCAATGATGACTTTTTGAGATGCGAAAATGCGTTAGAGCATTTTGTATATACCTTATCAGCCTCATTTTGACTTCGGCGGGCAAACGCTTGAACACATCTAAGGAAAGGATCAAAGACATCCTTTTCAACATCTCCTTTATGATTTGCAAGTTTCCACCATGATAAGCGTACATCGAGAGCTAAAGCTTGTAATATGAATGCCGCCTGTGGTGTTATGCTGACTTTACAGTCCACAGCGGTGGCATCTTCTGAGGACGAGACGCTTGGACTCATAGATAGAAGCATGTCCGACAGAGTTTGAAGTTGACGGGCAGACTTGTTCACTTGCGTTGAATCTTCAGCGGCTTTCAAAAGGAGTTTTACAGGCGAGGAGGCATGTCCGGGTCGTAGAAATGGCATCGCGGCTTCAATGGACTTAGGTTTCCGGGAGGCAATCATAAGCCTTAGTGCCTGTAACTGAGTTGTAATCACCAGACCTAATTTCGCACCCGTTGTTGAGATCTCCCCAAAATCCAAAAGTTCAGCCAAAGTTTGTGGTGTTGAAGCGGAAGCTGCATCTTTGGTTACTGGCGCACTCTTCCCTTCAGTTTCCACGTCCAACCGTCGTTTCAAGATCCTAAGCTCTTTAGTTGCCAAATCCTCTAAACCAAGTGCCAGCAATTTTCCAACCAGAACAGACATTCCGTTTTCGAGCTGTAGAGGTGGCATAGTAAGGCCTGTTATGTTCGCAGCTTGGATTCCTCGTAAACACAGAAAGGCAGCCCTGGCGCATTCCGCAACCGATCGAACTCCGGGAGAGCATGCTGATGTTGACGATGCGGAACCATCTCGAGTTTTTGAAATGTTGGGCGAACTAGAAACTCGATTTAAAGCTCGTGGCTGTAATGGTGCTTGAGGAACTGAACTTGATCTTCTAAGCCCTTTGCGAGCTGCTGCTTTCTCCTTGGTAGTTGGAGCTTTCCGGGGCTGAGATGGTACCTTGATCGCTTCTGTTAAAACTTTCAATGTATTGTTTACAACTTCAGTAGCCAGTGTGAATTTTTCTTTTGCAGACAACAATTCTACATTATCGTTTGCGTTCGCATTTTCCTTATCCGCCTCGTTGACTTTAGACCGCGACGTAGGAGCTCGAATTGTGCTTTTTTTTGTGGTTTTCGCAGTCGCTTTAGGTATTGATTTTGAGGATCCAGAAGTATTTGGGGTTGTAGTCGCCTTAGAAGATAATAAGTCACTGAGTAGAGTGACTGTTGCTGGTGTACATGTTGTTGTCGAAGATATAGCGGCGCGCACAGCATCCGCGGATTGCTGTGATGAATTCATTACAATAGAAATTCTGTCAAGAAAGAAACAGTATTATTGGTACTTAGACATTATTCCAAAAAGGTAAAAGAAAAACAATTGATGTCGTCTTCGAGTGATGTAAAGAATTATCAATCTCCATAATCGAAAAACGGATGTCCCCTGTTGACTTTGTTTCCCAGGCAACCAAAGACCTAAAACTTTCGGCTCATCCTAAAGCCCTACGGAAATTCAATTTTTACAACTTCAATACTGTTCACCTACCTATTTACATCTTGACAACAATACTCAACCCGTTTACAATGAACAAATCAACGATGATTAAAAGGCTGATTTCTGCGCCACCCGCTATCAGAAGCACAGTTCTTCAACAACGATTATTCTTCCCTCAGTCTCGCCAATATGCCGTTCAAAGCGTCACTCAGGCTTCGTTCTGGGCGAATCTGATTCCTAAACCATTTCGAAAAAGCGAACGAGCCGTAAACAAAAAGCCGAAATCCAAAGATTGGAATCCTGCGACTTTTTTCATATGGATCTTCCTTCTGATTGGATCCATGTCAATTCAGATGATAGCCTTAAGAAATGAATACACAACTTTCAGTCGCCGCGCTGATGCCAAAATTGGAGTATTAAAAGAAATTATTCAGAGAATAAGAAATGGAGAAAAGCCTGACGTTGAAGCACTTCTCGGAGTTGGAGATCGAGAGCAAGAACGGGAATGGGAAGAAGGTATATATGTTATTCATGATTAAATTCTTGGGGTATGATTCTAATATGTCTGGATGAAGTCTTACAGGAGATCGAACGAGAAGACGCAGCGTTACAACAATCTACCGCAGAGAAATCTAAAGCAGAGAATGTTGACGTTCCAGAGACCAAAAAGAAGGCTCCCGAAAACGCGAAGAACAAGAGCAATGTGCCCTCGGGATTCTATTGAGAAAATTTATGTACAAAAAATGGTCTACTATACAAGATTACAAGATTGATGGATGTATTTCTACGATAGCATGTCCTTGAACATACCGCTATTTTTCTGTCGTGCTTCGTAAGGAGTTTGAACGTCGTCTTTTCTAGACGTGAAGCCGATCCGATTTAATTGATCAACAAGTGCAGGTAGAACTACATCAGTTCCTAGTTCGGCCCTTACACCGAATTCCCCAGTTTGGCCACCAGAGAGATTCTTAAAGAATGCCTCCTCACCTCTGACCCCGCCCAGATTCAAAATTGCGATAGGCATATTCCTCTCTTGAGCACGTCGTGCTAATCTCCAGGCAGAGTATGTGGCAAGCGAAGTTCCCAGCACCAACAGCCTACCGGAATCATCAATTGCTTGTTCAGCGGCTTCCTTTACTTGCGCATTAATACTCTCCCCAAACATAACCACAGCGGGTTTCAATATACCCGCTGTACTCGTTGCTTTCCAAGCCCCCTCTTCGTCAACTTCCACAATCGATTGCGATCCATCTTTTAAGATTGGAGGATTCTCAAGACAATGAGGGCACGGCGGATATCTGAAGGTGTCATATGGTGCTCCGGGAACGTCAACATCTCCGTCAGGATTTGCCTTCATGCCTTTTGCTCGTCGGTCTTCTGGGTCCTCCGTAGTTAAAGCTCCAGATTCAAGTATTTCAGCCAAAAATGCCGCCCATGCTGGATTCAATCTTGATAAAGATTCTTGGAAAACATCTCTAGGTAAGTCTTTTCGGCAGGTGACGCATGTCAAAGCTCGAAGATATCCATGAAGTTCAACAGTTGCCAAATTTGGATGTGCCTCCGAGTGAAATGAATCAACGTTTTGTGTGACCACCCGCTTTACAATGTTCATATCGGCAAGGTCTTTAATAGCATAGTGGGCGGGGTTCGGCTTGGCTTTGTGTAAATTCGTCCATCCTAAGAAACTCCTCGCCCAGTACCTTCGACGTGCCTGGTCGCTCGCAATGAATTCATGATAGTAAACAGGTCGATATGATTTGTTCAACACGTATGTGCCTTTCGAACCTCGACTATGGGGATGGAAGGTTAGCAATCGTCCACGCAATGTGAGCTTGGCACTGGATGATATATAGAGTCCCGGATGGTTAATATGCAATATCATATATACCCTGTTCGCTAAGCAAGAAGCCCCTTTCAATAGATGATTCACCTCTTCTTGCAGCAGATGAAACAGCGACCTATGGGTATGAAAGATCCAATATACTCACTAATCTGCCAATCCCGAAGCCACAGAGATGCCGGCTCCTGACAAAATTACTGTTGATTGTGGGTCTTTGACTCCATCCGGAAGGTTATGTGAAGGCGGGGCAGTGAGGAATTTCGACAGAGCGTGGATTGCCCCCGGTAATGAGTTTGCGCTTCGTGGTAGGATTGATGGAGGGGGCAGTGGACCCGTATAGGGTATTCTCATAAGAGGTTTTCGCATTGGATGATCATGAATCTGGCATTCAGCATTTAGACACGCGTTCGAGGATACAAAAGGTTGTAGATAGGATGAATGAGTTGAGATTCAAAATATACTAACGTCATGATTAGTTTGGTGGCGGATCAGGCTATGATATAGTGGCTTAGTCAATGCAAGGCTATCATCTATCTACCTATCCACCGGTATCTTCGTATCTACGATATCCATCCACGAGGTATCCATTCTTAGTCTAATCGTCGCTTTTTCCGTTGAGCACAACGAATAGCCAAACTCGCATATCCAGCGAGTGGGCATACGACTACTGTCTTCAAGCTCGGAATATTAAGTCGGGTATGCAAAGGATGATATTCGGCTGAAGTAACCACTGTCTCCAACTGTATACAGGACCTAGCTAGGTATTTGTATGAATGCCGGTAGAAAGGATTCCCGGTCCAAACCTCCCAAAGTCTCATACGGAGTACGTACTCTGTACATACAAGTAGTTCCCATTTTATATCACGGATGTAGAGATACACATTCGACAGTGACATTCCCTAGATGCAATTCATCCAAAGGCCACGCAAGGGCCAAGAAATATGTTTATATAGAGTGACATCTTCACCCTGTAAGTTTCATCTGATTTCCAAAGCATCCCTAGGTCTTCAAATGGCTTTTCGATGACTGGCTACCGTCTCGTCCAAAAACGGTTCATCCCCAGGGAATCGTCGTCATTTGGGAAGGTTGGCTTGCGAATTCATTGATGCAATTCGCAATTCGATATTAACCTTACGAAAGCCTCGCTGTACTCGTAGAAATTTACTCCACACTCCATCTAACGTTTGCTAATTCCTTTCTAATTCTTCACTAAGCAATAATGACATTTCCACTTTAAGCTTACAATATAATTTTTCCCCTTACGCTCCGTACAAAGTATATCCATCGACCCTTAACGTGGTCCATAACACTCCTTGTAAAAGCACATAGTACTTTTAATGAACGCCTAGAAAGGGTGTACACGAAAAGGATATTGTCCGGGTAGAATACATTTCTTATTTTATGGTTAACTCCAAAAATAAATTATTTATGTCCATGCCTCTTCATTGCTTCTCCCATGGACGCTTTTCGTTAAGGCCTGTCGTCACACTGGGGTTTAAGTCGAACATAAGGACACCTCAATATCAAATTGCCCGAGTATTGCAGACTGCCGCTTTCGATTCCACTTTACTCAATTATAGTACTAAAGCTTACAACATTCCTCTTAAATCCTTCCCAAGACTTCAATCATTATCCGATAACTTCAATCCAAGACTACTCAATTCAATGGCCGCTCTCACAACTACTCAAACGCGTTCACACGCGGGCCACTCTCATCATCACCATCATGATAATACATACCTTACCTCTACGAATAAGAACGATGCCGGTGTGCGGATTACTCGGATTGGACTTTATTCGAACTTGGGCATGGCGGTTGCCAAAGGAGTAGGAGGATACATGTTCAACTCTCAAGCTATGTTGGCAGATGCCTGGCACAGTGTCACCGATCTTGCCAGTGATATCCTTACATTGGCGACAGTTTCCTGGAGTCTCAAACCTCCAACCGAACTCTTTCCAACAGGCTTTGGAAAGGTTGAGAGCTTAGGATCATTGGGTGTTAGTGGCATGCTTCTTTTCGGAGGGATGTTCATGTGCTTGAATAGTTCTGAGATCCTGTATGCACATTTCTTCTTAGATGCCCATGCGGCCGCAGAAGCTGCCGCACATGCACATGGACATAGTCATAGCCATGGGCCATTACTACCTAGTTTACACGCTGCTTGGTTAGCTGCCGGTACAATCGTCGTCAAGGAATACCTATACCAAGCAAGTAAGTTGCCATTGGCAAATCATTCGTTGATTTATCACATGCTGACTTGAATCTCCACAGCAATGAAAGTAGCACGAGAAAGAAAGAGCTCAGTTCTAGCCAGTAATGCGATCCATCACAGAGTTGACTCCCTCACCGGTATCGTTACCCTTTTCGCAATTCTCGGAGCAAATTTCCTACACGAGGCAGCCTGGTTGGACCCCGTTGGAGGATTCCTCATCTCATTACTCGTGATTAAGGCTGGATGGGGCAATACTATATCAGCGCTATACGAATTGGCAGATAGGGGAATCGACTCCGAGGTCAAGGAGTCTGTCACAAAAGCGGTACAAAAGAGTCTGCTCAATCTTACAGAAGGGTCAGAAGTAGAATTACGAGAAGTCGAGGGTGTTAAGTCCGGACAGAACTATCTGATAGAGCTTCAACTTGCCGTACCCAAGGGATGGACAGTTGAGGATATTAGAGAAGTAGAGGATAGTGTCAGACAAATGGTCGGCTCAAAGGTTCGAGGTGTTCGACGAGTAAAAGTACGCTTTGTACCAAGAGATGAAGCTAAACCTTCCCTTTTCGATGAGTTTATCAGTGGAGATGTGAGCCCACGAGAAAGTCCTGAACCTGAATTGAATGGACACGACCACGATCACGATCACAATGGACATGCCCACAGTCATGACACTAAGAAGACGTTATAGTCGTTATAGAAGATCGTATGAACATTCATGGTTGGAGTTTGCATGGAATTGGAGTCGGCGTTAAGGATGGGTGGTAAGACTTCATGATAAGTCTTTTCAATTACAGAGGAGCAATTTGGCGTAGGGGGTGAAATTTCTACAAGATTGTACTCTATGCAATGTATCAAAATTTATAGAGCCATTATGATGGAAAACGATTGTCTGCTTTGATTGGTGCGCATCTAAACACCCGAACCACTTGGATTTGTGGCTTTCATTCAGGCTAAATGTGGATACTATTCCAACGTCAACTTTTAATAATCCTCCCTTTCTCCATAACCCCACGATAGAGGCAGGTCTAATTCTTTGTGTATAAAATAGCCCTTTCGTTCTTTTGTTCCTCTTAGATTTTGTGATATTTAATTCATTCATTGCATTCTCCATCAGGTCAATATTTAAATCGAGATCAAAAAATCAAACATGTCTCCAAAAGATGAACCTTTATACCTAGGATTTGACCTCTCCACCCAACAACTAAAAGGTATGTCCACGTGAGCATAGTTCCCTCATTCTACCGCTCTCTAATTTTTTCCCAAGCAATTGTGGTATCATCTTCCCTCAAAGTCCGATACGAAGCTAAAGTCGACTTCGATGCCGACCTCTCCAAATATGGCATCAAAAAAGGTGTACATGTCAATGAAGTCGAAAGAGAGGTTTACGCACCGGTAGCCATGTGGCTCGAAGCTGTTGATTTAGTTCTCCAACGACTTTCGGAAAAATCTTGTCCCTTTCACTTGATCAAGGGAATTTCAGGCTCAGGTCAACAACATGGAAGTGTTTACTGGAGCCAAAAGGGCGAAGAAGTGTTGGGTGCTTTGGAGACGAAAAAAAGTTTGGTAGAGCAGTTAAAGGATACGTTTGCGCATCCGTGGAGTCCTAATTGGCAAGATGCGAGCACGCAAGAGGAATGCGATGCTTTTGATCGGGAGTTGGGAAGTGAGGAGAAACTAGCAGAAGTTACGGGGAGCAAAGCTCATCATGTTAGTTCTGTCCTGTTAATTCTCGCATTTTATGTCGCAGGAATCATGCGTAGCTGGATTTGCTTTGACTAACAATACTTACAGCGATTCACGGGACCACAAATCATGCGTTTTCACAAAAAGTATCCAGAGGTCTACCGCCGTACTTCTCGTATAACCCTCGTCTCGTCTTTCCTGGCATCTTTGTTCCTTGGGAAAGTTGCTCCCTTCGATATCAGTGATGTTTGTGGCATGGATCTCTGGGACATAAAATCCGGATCTTGGAGCGAGCCTCTTCTCACTCTTGCGGCTGGATCTGATGGTCTTGCTTCCTTGAAATCCAAACTTGGAGAGGTACGAGAAGATGGCGGCGGAAGCATGGGCTCTATATCCTCTTACTTCACATCTCGCTATAACTTCCCCGCTGATTGTGGAATCGTTCCTTTCACCGGTGATAATCCAGCCACAATCTTAGCTCTCCCTCTTCGCCCCATGGACGCTATCGTCTCCCTCGGAACATCCACAACCTTCCTCATGTCAACCCCCAACTACGTCCCAGACCCCGCTTACCACTTTTTTAACCACCCTACTACAGCCGGTCTCTACATGTTCATGCTCTGCTATAAGAACGGAGGTCTCGCCCGCGAAAAAATCAGAGATGCTCTCCCGGCATCCAAAACCTCAGATCCATGGTCCAACTTCAACCAAGCGGCCACAGAAACCCCACCTCTCGCTCAAAAATCTCCTTCTGATCCCGCAAAATTGGCTCTCTATTTTCCCCTCCCAGAAATTGTGCCAAACGTCCGAGCCGGTACCTTCCGCTATGAATCCTCACCAAGCAGTACACTAAATGAAGCCAAGACACCATATGATCCAGAAACAGATGCTCGTATCATTGTAGAATCACAAATCCTTTCTTTGCGTCTTCGTTCGCAGAAATTAGTTACGTCACCTTCGAAAGATATACCGGCTCAGCCTCGTCGTATCTATCTCGTAGGTGGCGGCTCGCATAATCCGGCCATTGCGAAGATTGTGGGTGAGGTGTTGGGTGGAGTGGAGGGAGTATGGAGATTGGATGTTGGAGGGAACGCGTGTGCCTTGGGCGGTGCTTACAAAGCCGTTTGGGGCGTAGAGCGAAGCGAGAAAGAAGGGGGAAAGATTGGAAGTGGCAATGAGGCAAAGTGGAAAGGGGAAAGTTTCGAGGAATTGATAGGAAGAAGGTGGAAAGAAGAGGGCGCTATTGAGAAGATAGATGAGGGGTATAGACCTGAGGTGTGGAAGCAATATGGGAGTGCTCTTGGAGCATTCGAGGAGATGGAGAAGGTAGTTCTGGAGGGCGAGGAGAGGTTCAAGAAGTGATATTGCTGGTAGAGTTTTGGTAGGTGATGACTGACTGATATTCGGGCATCGACTGATGTCGTTTTACATATTTTTAGCTTTGTGGTCTAGCTTGCTCATAATATTACAACCTATCCCCAAAAACAAACAGACTTATATTGTAATCAGAGGATTAGCGAACTTCAAAAAAGGAGTAAAATAACATGGATAGAAATTCGAGGGGGTATCAGAAGACTACAAAAATCCTAACCATTGCGAAAGATGTAGAAAGTATGTGAGAGGCTACTGCAATACAAATTATTTGACTAAGGTAGAAAGATATCGGTCATGTAGAAAAGAAAAAGTCTCATGCCATGCGCACCCATTCGACGTCTAAATTGGGATCAGGGGGGTTGAATGGACCTTACCCACGCAGACATATTACAATCATTCCTCATAAGAAAAGGAATATTTATTATCAAAGATGTGTCTGTAAAATGTTCTGTGAGATAGAAACTAAACTAAACTACTGATACTGATACAGTATTCCACGGTAAATCGAAGATCACGCAAGAATGAATAACGGAAGATACAATTGTTGTATGCTATAATCCCACTTGAAGTAATCACCTATACGTGGGGAAGATGTAAGCTTTTTATGCTGCGAGTGTGGAGATATACTCCGAGTTGATGATTCTGGTAATGCTATTGTTGTCTGTTAAGATATCCCGCATCGATGAACCAGTAGAAGGAAATATGCTGGGAACAAGGTTGAGGAGTCTTTCGGCGAGGATTTGGGCGTCTTGCGCATCCGTCTTTGGTTGTTAAGAGATTCTTTCCTGGTCGATAATTGTTAAGGTGAGATGAGTATATAGCCAATCTTTGCTGTTAGTGAATGGCCTTCGGGGTATATTTAGTGTGATGTGATCCCACTTGCTAATAATATACTGGAACATAGATTCCCCTTAACAAGTTGAGAATCTGAAGCAAAAAATATGTTATCAAGAGTAGAGAACTTGTGACGGAAAAGCTGTGCTTGATATTGTGCAATCTGTTTGATCAGATTGTATTTGGAATCTCGGGATGACTTTCTATATTTTATTCTCAAGTTCTCATCAGGTAGCAAGTATAAACATTAAAATCTATTCGGACCCAAGCTCGTTTTCACTAGTATCATCGAACGCAAGAATTTGAGCACAAATATATCTGTACTCTGGATAATGAAACTGATGATTGCTACCTCACTACTTGTTTTTTTCTTCTTCACGTATAATAAAATGGCATGAGAAGTATCGATCAGTTATTCAACGAAATCACCAATCTTCATGATACGATCCGAGGTGATGTCTGCAAATCTTGAGGCTGAGGTTGAAATTCGGGCTATGAAGTGGGGCCGAATCTGCGTATGTGGAAAACCTCTTTATATGGAATTCCATTGATAGAAATCTTCAATCTTGCATAGCTAAGCAGTTCAAACTGTACAACTTTCAACCATACCATGAACTAGCTGTCCGACTACACTCAAAAACTTTGGAGTCCAAGTCTTTTGAATGTTATGTCGGAGATCTCTATTTTCTTTCGCGTATGCCTTTCCCAATAAGTAAGTACTATTACTGCTCCTATGTAACTTATACTAAAGTTCTAGGGATTTCTTGAACTCCTTAAGAAACTGGATCTTGGACAGATAACTAACTAGTCTGGGATCTACCTGTGGCAGGTTTCACTATTTGGATTGTGGAGTATGTAGGATGCGGCTGCGCAAGAGACATGGACGGGCGAAGTGTAATTCACCGTTGATCTCGGGGTTGGAAGAGTGTCAGCTGGAAAGGTCTGAAGGGAATCTGTCTTTTGACTTTCAAGCTATTTGGAATGACTGTTGCTGCTAAAAAGCCAAATTGAAGATTAAATAGGCGGTGACGAGGGAGCAGGGACGCGAAATTGAAAGACTGCAGCACCCGAGGTATCCAGTAACACGATTAATAAGAACTTTCAGAGGACTCTCCATTTTGATAAAATTGGATTGCAAGTAGCTCCGAAACAGAGAGTTCATAAGAAGAGCTAAGAAATTGCTTTTGAGGTGTTGAGCTTGGAAGCTTTCGTTGATGAATTCATAAAGACAATTGTTCGGGTGAGTGAAATGAAAGACATGGGGGAGCTCATGGGGCCCCGCAATGGTTCATCGTCAGAGCCAAAGTTATGCAATGTGAGGCTCGTCGAAGAGGATTATAATTAGGTATCAGAGTCGACGGTACAGGAAGTACAGGAAGTACAGTACATACAATACACACAGTACATACAGTACATACATAGTACATCGGAGGTTCATAGCCGAAGTTGCATTAGATTGCATTTATCCAGCTTTTAACGGTATGAACAGGTCCTCATCATCTGCAACATTCAAGCCACGAGGGCGTGATCTCCAGTGCACGACTCAGGCTCCGCCGTGGAGACTCTGGTTGCATGAAAATGGAGACTTCCACGATGGCTCATGAAATGACACACTTTGTCTTGTTCTGATTCAATTTGCGGACTTTCGCAGAATACGATACCGGGACTCGAGCATGTCATGAATGAAGACGAGGTAAACATTCACATTCACATTCACATCCACATCCACATTCACATTCACATTCATTGCTGTTACATTTCCCGAAAATTCAAGAATTGAAATGGGGTCTTGCCGATCAAATACGTATCCTTCACAACTTCCTTTCAAGGTTACTTCCAAGAAATCAGTAATCAGAAATCACAGGATTGGCGCGTGTATTGTACCTAGGTAACATCGTCTTCGAATGCCGATTTGTGGTTCACCCATGGAAATAAAGTCCGAGTCGTTGCTCCGTTCAACCAAGCTCCAACAACGTTTCAGATGTCAACAAACGAGATTTACACTTTGTGGGCGTTTAGTAATTCATTTCACATTTCACATTTCCACCCAACTTCAACTTCCTCTTATCAACCGACCGTTTTCTTTTTCTTTTTCCCACGATATGACTCGGCGGCGCATCTTTAACCTCGGAATCCTTGAGGGTACTCCCGCCTCGGAAGAGTGCCGAGTATGGCCGGTATGACAGGATTGTGCGAAGCGTAGACGAACTAGGTAGGTATTGATAAAGTAGCAAGGCTGAGAATCTGAGATAGATATAAAACTGGAGACTCCGCCATCGGATAATCCAATGATTGGATGTCGGTTGGGTAAAAATGAAGGGGGATATTTTGGCAGTTGGATGATATCTTGGAGGCTGGGAAACCATTTTATTGTAAACACAAGAGAGAAGAGGATGGAATTGAAAGTCAATCAGATACATCTCGAGAGGCAGAAGATTGAGAAACAGATTCAGACAATTGATAGTAGTATTGATTGAAGCGGTCGAAGTACATACAGCAAAACCTCTCCATAAGGATCCCTCTTATAAGGATAATCTCTCTATAAGGATATATTTTTCGATCCCAAAAATTTTTAGGGCTAAAAATGACCTATATCCTTAAAACCCTTTTATAAGGATATCCTTATAATTTCTGGTTTCAGGATTACGTGTATCCTTATCAAGCCAATAAAATTATCAGGATTTGAGCTATTATATAATAAATATAGTTGGATTTTAGAGTTGGGGAAGAGATTTGATTGAAATACAAGAATTGTTATATAAATGACCCGATCGGGACTAATCAGAAAGAAATTACTACTATATCGAGATTAAGCGGAATCTCTATACAAGGATACCTTTATATATCCTTAAAAAAGACTACAAAAACCGGTATCCTTATGGAGAGGTTTTACTGTATATAGAAGTATTAAATTCTACAGAATATCAATATCAATACTCGTACTCGTAGTTTATCTATTCTCTACCTCGACTTGATCAGGGCTAATCCCATTCTCATATATTCTCCACTTAGGATGAACTATAATTTATGTGACACTCACTGACAGAGCCCTTACCTTACCGTCGGACGCCGCGGGTGGTACACAGGACAGGTACTTCCACATACATGCTTTGCCCTTGAATTTTATTTTTATCAATAGAAAAACGTGCTGCTTAGATGTGCGGCGTGCGCAGGTCAAAGCAGCATGAGAAGCTTCTAGAAATAGCCAAAAGGGCAAAGAGCCCCAGAATGATCAATGATATCCACCTCCACAGGCAAAAGAGAAGAGGGAAAAGGGAAAAGGTGTCTAGTGCAAGCGAAGTGCTCGTCACGGAATTGAGATGGCTGAGCAAGATGCAAAAGAGTAAAAGAGAGGTAGGCTCAGGTAGGCTCAGGTAGGATATTCGGGTACGGAGTACAACATTAGCAATCGCAAATTTGCTCTCGACTCCTCCTCCCTCCGTACTCAGCAGGCATCAAGATGACAGCACGGACGAATAAAGTGTAAAGATTCCAGGGGCCACAAAAAATCTATTGGAAGTCGATGCCCTGCAAAGGAAGATCTGGATAGCACTAAAAAAGAAAGGAAGAGGAAAATAACTGGTAGCAACTTGGGATGAGCGATGGATTTGATTGACTGATATCATACGGCCATACGGACTACATCCAAACAAACCATACCATACATGCCATACATACCTACATCCCATACATCCATCCCATACATACGAACCATACAAACCATACCTACATACCTACATACATACATACCCTCCATACCTTACCACTCTATTTTGTGAATATCTAAGAGGTCGAAACCTTTGGGTGTTTATTGCCATCTATCATCCCTCCTCCCCCAGTCTCTCTCTCTCTCACTCACTCTCTCACTCTCTCACTCTCACACTCTCACTCTCACACTCTCACTCTCACACTCTCACACACTCTCTACCTATATTTCCAACCTCGATCATATCCACCCATTCGCCCATCTTGCTCATCTTAGATATCTTGTTGCGCTCCTCTCAATCTCTCACACACACACCCTCACGGTCTTCACTTCACTCCACTTCTCTTATCCTATGGGACTTTTTTTCGGTTCCCCATTCATACCGAAAATAGCCTTTGACGCACCTCGAGAAACGAACAAATTTGCTTGTTCGCAATCCCCCCCCAAGACAGCCATTTTCAAGGAGAAGAACAGGATAAAGACAGAGAAGAAGGCTACCAGGTATATACGAAAAAGATAAGAAAGAAAAAAGAGAGACAATAATCGCAAAAAAGCAAAGGCGAAAGCGAAACCCCCAAAAGTAAATAAATCCCTACTCTTTTTTTCATAAATACTTTAACTTTTCCTCCTACCTTTCTTTTATATATTCCTCCCTTTCGCTGTCTCTCTGTCTCTCTGTCTCTTCCTCTCTCTCTCTACCCTACCAAAATGGACTTTTGACGTCTGGTTTTGTGTTGTATGTATGCTGCAGCAAACGGAGTTGGGGAGTTCATGTTCTTATTGAATATATTCTAAGAGCTTCTATAAGATTCTAGCTAGGGAAAAAAACTTATATTCACCACACGCCACACACAACCTACCTCCTGCTAGGGCTGTTACCACTGGTATCACTCACTATACCTAAGCCATTACAGCAAAGCCAACCGTCATATCATATTTTTTTATTTTTTTTCCCTCTCACAGTCTGTCCAACCACAATCGTTCGTCAGACCGGCTACACGCACCCACGGTCATCCCAGCGGGAATTATTATCTATTCTCAATGTCCTTTAACCTCTTTTCAAAAACACCAAGAAAACCAAAGAAACCTGAAGATAACGAGGAGGGGATTCAAACGGATTCGCCTCGCTCAAAATCCCCACTAAAGAAATCTTACTCAAGATTAAGCAAAAATAAAGAAGAGGAAAATATTAAATCAGAGGAAAAACAATCAGGCTCAACAAAATCCAGCCGTATTCGACCAAAGTCGAGTGTATACCCGTCGCGAAATTCTTTCGATCCAAATACTACTCATCCTTTAAACCTTCCGCCAGATCAACTGCGGAGGTTATCAACTCAAGTCAGGATGTCGGAACCTATGGATATCGACGTTGACTCTCCTGCCAGCGCTCGCAATCCTTCCCCACCACCTCCAACCAATTCACAATCAAACACGCAAGCAAGCTCATCAAAACCAGCAGAGCCTGCTCGTAAGCTGTCCTCCAAGTCTGCTCCAAAGCCTGCTCCTCAGCCAAGTGCACCCAATGGTGACAATGCTCCAGCTAATGGAGAGGGACCACCCCCTCCCCCACCAGCTCACAAATCAAACCCGACAAGTCCTCAAGCAGTAGCGCCACCAACCCCAGAAGAAGCAGAGACATTCAAAGATGCGGGAAATAGATATTACAAGGCTAAGCAGTACAAGAAAGCTATTGAAGAATACACCAAGGGTTCGTGCCTTCAAAAGGGTTTAATACATGACAACTGCTGATATTTATCCTATTTGTAGCTGTCGAAGCGATGCCAACATCATCCACCTACATCAACAATCGTGCTGCTGCTTATATGGCTGCTGGCCAATACTACCAGGCTTTAGAAGATTCCAAGCGAGCTGACCAGCTTGATCCTAACAACCATAAAGTACTTCTACGATTGGCTCGAATTTACATCAGTATGGGATTACCACAAGAGGCTATGGATACTTTTGGCCGCATTCAACCACCACCTTCAGCAAAAGACATGGCTCCAGCTAAAGCTATGTTGCAACATCTTGCGGCTGCAGCAGACGCACTCAAGAACGGAACTGGATCAATGGCAATACACTCTATTGAGCAGGCAGAAAGATTACTTGGTATGGGTGTACCCAAGCCACGCAAATGGCAATTAATGCGTGGTGAGGCCTATCTAAAAATGGGCAATGTCAATGCTTTGGGAGATGCACAAAATGTTGCCATGTCTTTGTTACGAGGAAACAGCCAAGATCCTGAGGCGCTTGTTCTGAGGGGTAGGGCTTTATACTCTCAAGGCGAAAATGAAAAGGCCATCCAACATTTCCGACAAGCTTTGACATGCGATCCTGATTACAGAGACGCAGTCAAGTATTTAAGATTGGTCAGAAAGGTTGATCAGTTGAAAACCGACGGAAACGCGGAGTTCAAGGCTGGGCGATACCCAAATGCCATTGAAAAGTACAGTGAAGCTCTCGCACTCGACCCTACAAACAGAGGAACAAACTCCAAATTACTTCAAAATCGTGCTTTGTGCAAATCTCGTCTCAAGGATTATGCGGCTGCTATTGAGGATTGTGATCAAGCTCTTCAACTTGACCCTTCATACAGCAAAGCAAAGAAGACAAAAGCTACCGCTCTTGGCGAGTCTGGCCAATGGGAGGAAGCTGTACGCGAGCTCAAGCAGTTGCAAGAACAAGATCCTTCAGACGCTGGCATTGCTAGGGAGGTACGAAGAGCTGAACTCGAGTTGAAGAAGAGCAAGAGGAAGGATTACTACAAGATTCTTGGCGTTGAGAAAGACGCAGATGATAACCAGATCAAGAAGGCTTATAGAAAGGCAGCAATCATCCATCATCCAGATAAGAACCGGGACGATCCACATGCAGAGGAGCGATTTAAGGATATTGGAGAAGCCTACGAGACCTTGAGTGATTCTGAGTAAGTTTGATCTGTTTTTCCTGACATCACCGCGCAGTCTAACACAATACTTCAGGAAACGTGCACGATACGATAGTGGTGTAGACTTGGAAGATCCAATGGATGGCTTTGGAGGCGGTATGGGAGGTGGTGGAGGAGGAATGAACATTGATCCAGGTTAGTCTACAACGTCGATGTTCCAAATAACACTGCTAATTTTGTCAATAGAAATCCTCATGCAAATGTTTGGAGCCCAGATGGGAGGGGGCCGTGGAGGTGGAGGTGGTTTCCACAGTTTCGGTGGAGGTATGCCGCAGGGAGGTCGCGCTCGGGGCGCTCCTCAAGGCTTTCCAGGTGGATTCTCGTTCCAGTGACCTGATGAAGATCCGAATCAGGATATCAATCAAGATCAATCCACCTCTCACAACACATCAAAAAGTTCGCGTCAAAGTTCTGATTTCACAAAAGCTTCTCATGATCCCGACGGAACATGGTGGCTACGTAAAGCATGGATGGGGTTCCTACTGGCGGGCGTTCTTCTTCCTCTTGATCTCTTGGCCCTTCTAGCTTTTTTAATGGCCGGAGTGTACATTTGCATCAAAACCACCATTTACGTGCGTCGAAAACGCGACGCGTCATAGAATTTGGGGATTAGATTCCATTGCAGGCGTTTTCTATCGTGGATTTTCATTTTTGATCCCAGCTTTGAAAGCATGATGAAAGGATAACCACATACATACTGGACAGGTTTTGAAACAGCATCAAAAAATTTGAAGAGGGTAATGTGACAAATGAGGAATTGATGTACATGTCTGATGATATTTATCACAATGACATAGGATTTCTTTTATTACCTTAACTTAAATAGACTATTAATGAACATAGTTTGAAACATCCTTGACAGAATTCAATAATGTGATTGTTTGAAAGAAACGTTTACAATGTGAATTTATATTACATATCCAATGCCGACCTTCTTTCCTTCGAGTGTTCCCCTCGGAAAGTCCTCAAAAGTAGCAACGAGCACCCAAGTGAAGACTGAATCCGGATAAAATAGGGGCCGTCTCTCACGTGTCACCTTTTTATCAAGCGAAAGGCTGAAATTAAACCTTGCCTTACCCTTCACATTTGTGTGTTGTGGTGGGGCAGTATCTTCTGAAGAACCGCTTTCAGTAGAACTTTTCCAACATCATATTGCAAAAAACTGGCAACAAAAGTTATTTTAAGAGCTCAGGATACAAACTCAAAAACCAGATAGGGATTCCACGTACAATTTTACAATCGTGCATCAAGTCTTCTTTCTATTGCTAGCTCTTGTCTCGTCCCCAACCATTCAACGAATAAATCTAAAAATTATTATGACTCGATAGCGGAGTCTCAAAGAATGCTACAGATGTACATGCGATTTACTTTACAATAATTGTGGATCATTTGAACTTCCTAAACCTTTCTGTCTGCTGTAACCTCAAGCTTTAGTTCTTGAGAATACAGTAGTCATGGACGCCCAGGTATGTTCTTGATACACCGCTTCCGGGAACTTCTGCGCTGGCGGGGGTAATGCTCGAGAATGGAAGTTTGGACATATAGGATGGAACATCTGTACTAATCTGCCATTATTCTATAGATTGAGAAAGCCATCGAGATCGCATGGGACCCTCGATCCGACCCAAACTTAAAAGAACAAGCGGTTCAATATCTCACTCAAGTTCGAGGCGACACCTCGAGCCTACAAGCATGCCTTAACCTCTTCACCAGAGCTCCAAAAGCCGCCGAAGTCGTACGATTAGTTTCACTGGACATTGTCAACAATGCGATTCAAACTCAACATATAGACGACCAGAGCTTGCGTGGGCTCAAAGAACAACTACATGACTATGTCAGAAGAACATATGCCTCTGGGAACGAGGTCGATCCACCCGCTTTACAGAACAAGCTCACGCAAACCTTGACATTTTTGTTCTCATCATTATACAAGGAGGGCTGGGAAAGTTTCATCAGAGATTTCTTAAGCTTCGCAGGACATCAAAATGGATCAGTGGATAATCTTTCTGGAGTTGTATTATATTTGCGGCTTTTGAGCTCCATCCATGACGAGATTGCCGATTTGATGATAGCCAGGGCTGGAGAAGAGACAAAGCGAAATGTTGAGTTGAAGGACCTTGTGCGTGCTCGAGATGTACAGACGGTGGCAGGCTCTTTTCAACAAATTCTCACATACTGGCAAGGCAACAACGATGCCATTGTTGAAATGACATTGAAGGTTATTGGAAAATGGGTCTCGTGGATTGATATCTCTTTGGTCGTAAATCAGGATATCTTGAATTTGTTGTTTCCTTTGGTTGGCCGAAACCCTAATGGTGGTGAAGACAAAGTCAAGGATGCTGCCATAGACTGCTTCACAGAGATTGTGGCAAAGAAGATGAAACCTTCTGATAAGATAGGAATGATTCTGTTCTTAAATCTCGGAGAAGTTGTGTCGCAACTTATCACAAGTCCAGCCCTACACGACTTACGGAACACCTCTAGCTATGATACCGATCTTGCGGAAGCGGTTGCAAAACTGGTCAACAACGTTGTTTCAGATCTGGTCAAAATACTCGAGGACACCAAAGTTGAACCCGATGTTCGAGCCCAAGCAGAACAATTATTGCAAACTTTCCTTCCTCTTCTACTCAGATTTTTCTCGGACGAGTACGACGAGATATGCGCTACAGTCATACCATCTCTCACAGAGCTCAACACATTCTTACGCAAAGCGCAGCCATTACCACCTGCATATTCCGCCATGTTGACACCTATTCTCAATGCGATAATACAAAAAATGAGATACGATGACACTTCTTCCTACGCCGACGAGGATGAATTAACAGACGAGGCTGAATTTCAAGAGCTTCGAAAAAGATTACAAGTTCTTCAAAAGACTATCGCCGCAGTTGACGAAGCTTTGTATGTTGATGTCTTGAGCAACGTGATTGGAAGCACATTCCAGAGACTCGAAGAGCAAAATGGTCAGATAGACTGGCGTGATTTAGACCTTGCACTGCACGAAATGTACCTTTTTGGGGAACTTACCCTCGTCAACGGTGGCCTTTATGCCAAAAGCCAGCCATCCAGTATCGCAGCCGAACGTTTGATCGTCATGATGTCCAAAATGGTCGAATCCGGTAAGATTGTGCGAGCACCTTTACAGGAGAATCCACTAATTGTAAATAGGCATTGCTTCATTCAATCATCCTGCCATTTCACTCCAGTATATGGAAATCTGCGTTCGATACTGTTCGTTTTTTGAGAACCAAACCCAATATATTCCTCAAGTTCTCGAGCAGTTCGTTAGTTTTGTGCACCATAGTCATTCACGAGTCAGGATACGTTCGTGGTATCTATTTCACCGATTTGTAAAACACTTGAGAGGTCAAGTAGGCAATGTTGCGGAGACTATCATTCAATCAATCAGTGATCTCCTTCCTTTGAAGGCAGAAGTACCAAGGGAAAATGATGATGACATGTCATCAGATGATGGCAACCATGATGCAGCCGATGTTGCATTCAATGCCCAGCTCAATCTTTATGAGGCAATTGGTTGTATTTCATCCACAACTTCAACACCAATAGAGAAGCAAGCCATTTATGCAAGAACAATCATGGATCCTCTATTCTCAGACATTGAGCGAAACTTGGAGCAAGCTAAGTCGGGAAATGCACAAGCTGTTCTACAAATTCATCACATCGTTTTCGCTCTTGGATCGTTAGCCCATGGATTTTCTGACTGGTCCCCTGGAGAAGGAAAAAGGGCTGGACAAGCACCTGTCAAAGAGATAACAATTGGATTCAGCCGTGCCGCGGAAGCAATTTTGTTTGCACTCGAGGCACTTAAGGCCTCTTTCGAGGTCCGTAATGCAGCAAGATCCTCATTCTCTCGACTTATGGGAGTCATGGGAGTTGCTATGTTACCTCTCCTTCCGAGATGGATCGATGGCTTGTTATCCCAAAGTTCTTCCAAAGAAGAAATCGCCATGTTTTTACGACTATTGGATCAAGTTGTATTTGGATTTAAGAAGGATATACATGAAGTTCTCAACTCCCTACTGACACCACTTTTCCAACGAGTTTTTGCCAGCTTAAGCGAGCCGGTTACGGGAACAGATGATGGAATTCAACTCGCTGAATTGCGAAGAGAATATTTGACCTTCGTAACGGTCATCTTGAATAACGAGCTCGGTTCCGTGCTTGTCAGTGAGCAGAATCAAGCTTTCTTTGACCCCCTTATTCAGTCGGTCACAACCTTGGCGAAGACAGTCTCAAATGAAAATGGCAATCTCGCGGCCAGCAAGATTGCCTTTAATGTCATGACAAAGATGGCAGAGATCTGGGGTGGCCCAACAATTGCGACTCCAGGCCAGCCCATTACCTCAGCTGTCTCCCCTCAACCAACGTTTCCCGGCTTTGATAGTTTTCTCATTGAACGTTTTCACCCGGTTTGTTGGGAAGTTCTTCGCGATCCAAACTTCAGACCATTGGTCGATGCACAATCCAAGAGCGTTTTAAATGAATTGGCAGGACTGGAACAGGTCATCTATATGAAGACTGGAAATATGTTTGTGGAGCATTTACAGGGCAATTTCTTCCCAAGCATGGGTGTAGATGGTAGCGGATTTATTAAGAGCATGGTGGAGAGTCCGGAAAGGAAGGGATTGGCGACGTTTTTGCAGAATTGGATGAAAGGAAAAGCTTAGAGCAATGCATTCATTTGCACAGGCGAGGAATGATGGTAGCGATGAGACAATGAGGTTTCGTTGATATCCGGTCGGAGGTGGAGATTTACTGATTGTTAGAACGACATGAGTGGAGGAGAGGAATCATTGCATTTTCGAATGGCGTTGGAATGGATGTTTATATCATGGTTGGCCGGTGATTGCAACGAAACTTAAACTATACCACAAATGGATATGCAGGTATTGGGATGGGAGGATGAATATCATGATCCCTTCATTGGGCTTTAGGTTGAAACAGTGCTTTGGGAGAAGAAGTGGCTTGGCCTGAAGTTATTGCTTTAGTTCAAACATAGTGGATGTGCTGAAATTGGTGCTTGTCGATTATTGATGATTCAGTAAGCAATTACTTGAAGAAAAAAGTCAAATCATTCACTTTCGTATGTCGACATGCTCTTATGCGTGTATTACGATACGAGTATTTGGGATGAGTGCAGCGCGGTTGTGTAGTTGCAGAGGATGGATAGAGCGAGATGAAATAGCTGAGCTGTTGAAATAAGGAGAAAGAGGTGGTAGGCGGGGGCTGGTGTGTATGTTGAAGCCAAATCCGAATGAAGTGAATTAGATATATTAGATATATTGGCTAGTTAATCTACCAATCGATTTTCTTCCCTATGCTCGCCGAGGAATGTATTTGTTCTCGTCCCATGTGCTTTGCGATCATCCTGGATCTTTTTATCCCACTGCGTTGATTTTCGGATAGCTTTCGAATATTAGATTAGGAGCGAGCCCAATTTTTGATCAGCAAACCGCTAGCAAAAAGACTTTGAGACAGACGATAGCCGAAACTTTCTTGGCCCCAAGGAGCTGGCTGGTGTCTCGATTGCTAGATTCAATTTGAAGACTGGTAATAGTAATAAGAGAGATTTGCTTGCAGATACTATAGACTCGCCTAAGATTACAGAACTGATAGCCGCTCTGAGATCCGGAGTTGCAGAACACGCCAGCTCGTCCGATGTATCATGGATATGGATATCGCCAGCTGGTATACCCAAATCTAAGTATTGTCTAAGTAGGTAGTCACTATATGCGATGGGAATGCGGATATTTGCATTTCAAACCCTACTTGGTTTAGTACATGTTGTTCGGATAGACGTTGTTGTGGGGAAAGGAGGGAGGGTCCAT